AAATGACCATTTTTTTGGTACAAACGACCATTTCTTTGGCACAAACGACCATTTTTTTTGGTACAAATGACCATTTCGGTAAATATGGTACAAAAGACCATATAGCACCCATATTACTAATCAGCATATGACGTATAATAAAATTTTGACAAGTGAACCAGAACAAATACGTCATTTTATGATGTATGAAAACGATATTATTTTAAATATGATTTTTTTTTAGTATAAACAGCTCAAATTTTATTAGCGCTTTTTTGTACTCAGAAGAATTTTAGTATTAACTTTTTAATCTTAATCTTATAACTTTCTAACACATGTGTGTCGTTATGACGTCAGTCTAGGGCTAGGTGAATCAACTGTCGATGAACGTTACTTGTAACTTTCTGTTTCTTGTTCTATGCCTTGTTCTCCATTCACTCTCTCTGTTCCTTGATTGTTCCTTCTATGCGTTCCTTCCTTTTTTGTTCCCCTTCTTTCGTTTCTTTCTTCTTCCCCTTTTTGTAAGCGCTGACGAGTGTCACAATAAAACAGAGTACAAACCAAAAAAAAAATTCACAACCTCTAGACACTGTTGTTTTAGAGATCATATCTTGTTTTTACGATCAATTTCGCATAAGAAGCCAGAATTACATTATTTTGAATAGTGACAGAAGTTAGAAAGGTGAGATAATGGGATATTTTGGAGAAAGCACAGTTTTGCGATTGTTAATGAATTTTAAATCTTTTTTGTCAATGTACTAATGAAAGAAGCGCTTAGAACTACCGGTCAGCAGCAAATATCTCTCACTTTACATTTGTGACAGTACTCACGAAGTGTTAGTTATATGAAGAAATATTACCGAGTACACGTTGTTTGACACAAACCGATCTTCTTTTTTCCAACTAAAGAAAAAATAATGAATCTGCTTTCTTTTCTTTACATGCATTTCATCTCTTAAAGTAGCATTGGATTGGTTGAAACAGAAAAAAATGGTGATTCCTCTCACAAGAAAATATTAAAGTAAAAGAAAAAGAACTGACGATTTGACGCTACCTGTTCCATAAAGCAGCTGTGCCATGGAAATCGACGTCTTGTATTTGTTTTTCCTTTCTCTTTAAAAGTGACAATATATAGTGCAAGCGGCGCTCTACACTGTTAAGAGCTGCCGTATATATAAAGAACAAGAAATGCGTTGTAGTATGGGAAACAAACAGAAATATTTTTTTTGTCGTTCTTTTAATGAATCAAAATATTTATTTACGTTTTTACGCCGGAAACATTTTTCTCATTCAAAGAACGAAGAATAGACCTATGTTCTTCTGACGGTTACACTCTCCTAGGTAAAATCGTTGATATTTCAACGCCAGATCCTTGACATATGTGATCAGGATCCTGCAGAAATTCGCCGTTTTTTTCCTGGGAAAACGACTAAATTCTGAAAAAAAAGTGTATAGACACGGAATTTTAGATTTCTGATGGGGCTTAAAACAGGATTTTCAAGAATCCTGATAGGTTTACTATTGTTTTTGGGCCAAAATTGAGTCAGGAAATCGATGATTCCTGAAAGAAGTGTGTAGCCATGTGTTACAGACATGTTGTTCACATACCCTCACATCGCTTCAGCTGTTATTATCCGTTTTCTCTCTGTTCGCCTTTGGCATTCGCTTCTTGTCTCTGTTCTGTTTTCGTTCTCTTTGTTTACATTCTTTGATTCTTTTTTTCTCTCATCGCGATGCTCTCTATCTTGGGTCGGGTCATTCGAAATAAAACTGAACTAAAAGAAGAAGCAAAGGGACCTCTGATACCATGGAATTGTACGATCCTATCAGTATTTCAATAATTCAAAATTGGAAAAAAAAGATTTCTGTTCACATCTGTCAGGATTTGACTAGATTTCTTTTAGGATGTTATCAATTTCTTGGCGAGACCTTTGCAGGATTTTCTAAATAGAACAGAAGAGAAATGAACATATAGAGTATTGATCTCTAGACCTCCAGTTTACATACTGATGAACTTACTCAGCTGAGTGTGCCATGTCATTCTATATCTTAATTTCTGATTTTAATGTAAACTTCTATTTGAATTCTATCTGAATACAAATTATTTCAAAAAAAATTCTGAAAACACAATATCATTTTACATATTTATTTTAGTTAGTGAACTTTTACTATTTTTTTATTTCAATTCGATTTAAGAAATATATTTTGAATTTTTTTTCGAACATAATCAAAATGATAAGTAGTTTTTATCGAAAGATTTACTGCTTACTAAAACTATCTATTTAACGAAAAAAATTTACGACGACTAATTTCAAACTAACATTCTCATTTAATGATTTTCAATTTTCTTTTTCTGATAAGATTAAAAAAAAGAACTCCTTGATGTAGCCTGAATTTCAAAACAATTTTTATATCAACCTTAAAGAGAGTGAGAAATTTTTTTCTAAGATTTATTAAGATTCGCTCCATTTCTTTATGAAAAGAACTAAATCAAGATCATAGGATAAAAATGCTAGTAAATTATTCAGTTCTCAGAGGGTGTGGGTGTCGGTGAAGTGTGGGTGTGGGTGTCGGTGAGGTGTGGGTGTGAGTGTGAGTGTGGGTGTCGGTGGGGTATGGGTGTGAGTGTGGGTGTGAGTGTGGGTGTAAATGCCATCAGAATAGCTAGATCTACGCCCACACCCACGCCTCCACACCCATACACCACCCACACACACCCACGCCCAAACCCACTCCCACACTCCACCCACATTCATACCCTCTAGCGATCCCAATCGCCATTTCATTCGGAGTTTTAGCCAATCGATAGAACTTGTAATTTTCGATCTAGACCACCCAACGTCAAGTCATGTTTTAAAGATTTTTGTTAAACAAATGAAAAACTAGTGTAAGGTGTCCACTCCAAGTCATCCTCATCAATATTTCACGAAAAAAAGGATTTTCATGAAGAAAAATCAAACTCGATGGCACTTTTCAACCAATATTGATCTTGAGAAATTTTTATTGAGAGCGGTTGAGAATAGAAATGCACCGAACGCGAACTTATCGGCTTCGCTTATTCCCAGTACCTAAATGTTCAACTAGCCACGGAGATGTTTGTGTTGTCACTAAAAGAGATCGTACATATTCGGGTCAAATGAAAGTTTTCATTGCCAAACTAACAAGGCTTGTCTAGAGGAAGATATTCGATTTTTACGTTACTCATAGTTCAGTATTTGTAAACTACACGATCCACTACCCGTAAAATATTCAACTCCAAATTATGAACCGCTATGTTTTTATGGTTGGTCTAAAATGCAACGATATTGTCATTTTCAGTACATATCGAGCTTCGTAATTCCTGATTAGCATAAGGTGAAATATTATATATGGGATATTTTTCTTATGCAATTTTTTAAAAGTCTACTATTTTGAGTGTATACGTAACTCGATTATGACTACACGTTCACAAAATCTATGGATATTCGTGGGTATTCACGTACTTTACAAATGTCGATCCTTAAGAGAGCGTCCATGAGAGAACCAAGGAATCGAGGCACTGGTCAAAATTTAAATTTTTGATTTTTTATGTGCATTCGAAAGGTCATAATCTAAAACTACCAAACCCAAATTTTTAGCTCATTTGAATGTACTATAGTAAAGTTAGCCTGGATCGACTTTTAAGCACTACCTGCCTACTATTCAAAAAATAGGCATAAATCGTCGTAAAAATGTCTACCAGGATTATATTTCTATACGGTGGATAATTTTTTCGTGCAATATATCAAAAGATAGAGAATGAAAAACTGAACTAAATGAGCTATTTAGAATATTGTATATCATCTCTTTACTGACATTATTTAGTTCGACATAAGTGGGAACTGGCACAATTTATGAGTTCATGCCAGTCGATTTTTAAAAATATATCTACTGCGAATTTTCGAAAACAAACGGGACCAAGCTGAATTTTTCATATGTTATATAGCTTTTAATTTTCTACAAAATTGTAAAAAAATATTGAAAAAAAAAGGGTACTCTCGAGTCGATATATGGCTTACACTATCGGCTTTTTTAATGACCATTTGTAACTCTCTAATATGACTCATATAATGTCGAATCGTTTCACTCAGAAATTTCGTCCTCAACTAGGCACCATCATATATAAGTGAAAAGTACACATCAAGACCGACATTTAAATGCTCAATATGCAAAATTAAATGCGACACTAGTCAGCTCATATTAATCTATGGAATGATAAAGAGGCCGCTTCTGAGTCCATTCAAGAATCAAGACAGAAGTCAAAATTTTATTTTTCGATCTCAGATTTTCATCAAAATCTATATTATTTGACACTTTTAAAAACTCAATTTATCTGTTGAAATTTTTATATTGAAGGGTTGGACAATATCGACTTTTATTGACGCTTCAATCGCTACTCAAATAGTTGTATGGATTTGTTTCCAAAAATTTTTTCCTCATAATTTGACAGAAAATGAACCAATTTTTTTAAATACATCATATATAGTTTTATTTCATTGAAATATTTAGTTCGACTATTGACTTTCGTCGAATGAAATTGATCAGTTCAAATCAATTATCTTCGATTTAAATTCAAAAAAAAACTAATCAACTTATAAAAGCTATCTCACTGAAAATTATATCGTGTACAAAAGAATTAAAAATGAAAAATCTATCTATTTCGTAGAAAATCCATTTGGTTTGATATCACTTGCTCACTTGATTAAAAATAATCAATTTGTGTTTACTTTTATTGAATATCTCATTTCGATAACAATTAAAATGGCTTTTTAAATGACAAAAGGAAAAAAAACTTGACGATAGATATAATAACTTCACAATAATGTAAACGAGATTTTTCTTCTTTCATTCGCTCAAAGATTTAGTAAAAAAAAACGGAATCATATTTCTCTTAGTGAATTAAATACATAATAAGAAAAAAAAAATTTACAATAAAGACTGTTCAATAGCAGAACAAGCGAGGAAACAGAAACACCGGTTTAAAAAAATAGCACCAAATAACACTAGAGTGAATGAAGATGATTAATAGGTGCATTTGAACTTGTTTCCCTGCTCACTTTTGTTAATTCATTTAGAGCATCTGTGACCTGTTACAAAAAAAACGAAAAGAAATATTGATTTATTTATTTCGTGAAATCGAGACAAACATTTTTTAATGCATTATGAGTTGATATTAAGACAGAATGAAGACCAGTTAATTTAGCTTGATAATATTCTTCTTGTCTTTTTAATAATAAAGACCATTGATATTCTTCTTTTGGATATCTAATAAATAATTTAATTTATTTTTTAAATGAATTTAGGTTTTTTTTTCTTACGGATATCCATACGACCATAATGGATAATTTTTTGAAAGACGATCAGTCATTTGATCGATTTCATTTAATTTAATACATAAAAATATATTCACACTAACAAGGATTAACATTCTATTTGATAGAAAAACAAAATAAATAAGAAATTTTCTTTTTTAATCAAAAAACTATGTGAAATATGTCTTATTGATACATACATGATGAAACAAAATGGAATTAATACATTGCTTTTTGACCATTCTGAGGAAGATAAACAATTCGATGAAGATGATAAAACTAATTTTGCATCTAAATTTTAATTATTTAATACAAAAAATTTTAAAAAAAAATAAATTATTTCAAAATTATTTATATATCATTTTCTCATTCAAATCGTTATTGAAATTCTACATATGCTAAGATTTCGACATGATCGACGATCTTAGCATTGTTCGATTTCGATTAATTGACATGTTCTAATTATAATAGACGCTAACAATCTCTATTCAAAAATCCATTAGAAATTGTTCAATAGAATCCTCTTTCTATTAGACGAAAAAAAATCAGACAATATGAATGTTGAAGTTCGTTATTTCCTCTTCTGACCCTCTGAAAATCATTATTATCTCTATGAATCCAACTTGTCTCGAATTTGTATAAAATTGTTTCAGATAAAGATTTTGATATTTGCTTCTTCTGCTATTATATTTCAATTTTAAAGTTTATCATTTATAATTGAAAATTAGTTTTAGAAAATTTTTTCAAAATGGATCAAAACTAAAGCAAATAGATATTGATTCTGATGATTAAGCATGTCTTTCATCTTGATTGTTATATATTAATGTGTGTTTAATGCGTGATCTAAATACTTTTTGTTTTTTCTTTATGCCTAATTAAACTATTGAAAACATTCATCACTTTAGCAATACTATCAAAACTTCATCAGAGTATACATTAAAAAAAAACGTCATTGTCACTGAAATTTTTGCATTTGGTCTTCGCTGATGTCAACGATAGACAAAACATTAGTCAAATGTTTTTTATTTTGTGAGAAGCCATAATGGCTGAGTGGATATCTTATTCGACACATATTCAACAGATACTATGTTTAAGCCTTGATACTACTAGCTGCAGAAATACCCTAGACAAATCACTAATGGTTATTCGTCTTAGGTCACCTATACGATAGCATACTGGCTATGTTGTCACGTACACCTTCTCTTGTGATTAGTCAATGTATATGGAAAGTTCTGCATCAAGCTAACTTTCTGCTGAGAGATACAGCTAGTCAAAATTGTGGAAAAGACATTGAACTAATGAATCTGTCACTGGACATCATTCCATACTGCAAGCTAACCGAAAAACAAAAGTATTCTTCTTCTTCTTCTTGCTAATTTCGTGAGACAATCATGATTGAAAAACGATTTACTTTGAGTATGATGGATAGTTTCATTGTGAGTGGCTTGTTTTCGTTGTTGATGTGGTGAAGAATCATTGATGGTAGAATTTAATTTAGTTGATTGTTGTTTTTGTGAATGTTTCTTTTTTAATTGATTTTCTTTATCTTGTTCATTATTTATTGTTGTACTCGAACGTCGTTGACGTCTCGAACATTCAACTTCCATACGTTTTACTAAATATTTAAAAAAACAAACAAATTATAAATATCTTTAAAAATAAATACAATAAATTTAAGCAAAACACCTGTTGATGTTGATAGTTCGATTCGATTATCTTTTTAAAAAAAGCAAAAATAAAATATAAAAAGCCAAACATTGTAGCATGAGCAAATTAATATATTTAAGAAAAACTTACTCAAATCTGTATAAGAATCTTGAAGAGCAGCCATAGCATTTTTTTCGATGAACGCTGAATAAAAATTATAATAAGTATAAAATTTTATATGATGAGAAATATATTTCATTATTTTCCATATTTTCATTCTAACAGCTTTTTTGATAAGAATATTTTATTCTAATCGCTCAAAAGAACAATCAATATGGAATTCTTCTCGTTAAATAGAAAGAAAAAAAAAGCCGATGTTGAATAGTCATAATGAATATAAACATATTCATTTAACTGAATAAAAGAAAATTTAAAAACAATCAGTTCGACTTACATTTAATAATAATCATTAAACTTCTAAGGTATCTAACTTCACAAGTGACTTTTAAATGTGATTTATTTGGTCCAGTTTGTATAAGACAATAACGAGATGCAATAAAAAAAGCATCAGCATATTTTATTCCTTCATTTCGAACTTCAGTATCAATTATATAATGTGATTTTGATAATTCACATTGAATAATCTATTCATTTCATATTTATTAATTAAATAAATCAAAGAAGAAAATATTTATTTAGTTTTACTTGTTTTTCATTTGAACAAATTGTTGTTGCACCGAAAACTGCAGAAACATCAACTTTATAAGTACATAGACGTTCTCGTTTGCCTGTTTTTTCATTTACTTTCCATTCAGTAGCATTATAATCTAAAGAAAACAAAATTCAGATAAGAAAATATCAGAAAAGGAAGAAAAAAATAAAAACCTTTAATACGACGTGATGCATGATAAGCAACAACAAAATCATTATCACCAAATAAATAATCAAAAAGACGTTCAACTGATATTGAATATGTTCGATCAATTAATTGAGTAGCTAAATGGGATTGACATGAACATTTTGAAAGATAATTTGTTTCTAAATTTAAATAATTTATTTACAAAAAATAAAAAATTTTCATATTAATATAAATAAACCTGGAACAACTGCCATTGATATAAAACAATTATCTTGTTTATTTATATTTGAATTTGATTGACGAATAAGTGTATTGCTATTTGCTTCTTCACCAATAGGTATTACATTTTGATTATCATCAATATCATTATAACTATCATCATCTATTTGACGTCCACCACAAGATGATACACTCGAATGATCGTCGATTTCTTCTTTTTCACTAGATTTTGAACAAACTGAATTTGGTGTGACACCCTATTTAGAAAAAAAAACAAAAAGAAAGAACAATTTTTACTCAGTGAAATATTTGATTTAATAAACGAAAAATAAAAATAAAAAATGAACCATTGTTACATTCTTTTAAGTAAGAATCGTTATTTCAATAAAAATCATGAAGGACGAAAAGGAAAGAGTAACTATTCTCTTTTGATTTACATGCTTTACAGTTAACAAGATTTCCTTGAAAATATTCTCTATTGTCCATACGCCTATTCAATTATTTTATTCTATTCATAAAAAAAAAAGACATAAAAAAAAATATCTATATATATATCAAGACAATATTTGATATACTAAAAATTTTATTATAAAAGATAACTATTGTTGAGATGTGTAGGAGTCATTATCTAAAACAAGAAGAAAAAAAAAACAAAAACAAATCTAATCTTACACAATATTTATCATTTGTTTCATTTTTTGTTTGTTGTATTGGAGAATTTTTTTCAGATGTAGAACTAATTGATTGTTTATTATAAGTATCTTCTTCATCAGTTGTCATATCTAAATCATCTCCATAACATTGATGAATCATATTCCATAATTGTTGAGATGATATTGGCTAAAATTATTTTACAAAATTAATTCGTCTATAATTAAAAATCAAAAAAATGCTAACTTGATCAATTAATACAGTTTGCCATATTCGAAAAATCATTGCATATGTTTTATCACGTGTTGCAAAACTTGCAAAAAAATATTTTTCATTTTTATTTGTACGAACTTCAATTGCATTTGGAATAACTTTAGCTGTTTTTTCTCGTGTTACACCAATAATATCTTTAAATTTTAAACATAAACTTGTTTCCCATTTAAGAAAATTAGCATAAAAACATAAATAATTTTGTGATATATACATTCGACCTTGGATTAAGATTTCTTTTTGCCATGCACATGAATAATCTTTATTTAAATAATTTGTTTATTTTTTTGAAATAAATAAATCTATATCAAATTAAATATCTTACCAACAATTAATCGTTCATCATTTGGTACATCTTTAAAGACTTTTCGAAATTCTTCATTTCTTTGACGATAAGTTGATTGAAAAGGCTAAATATTAAATAAGAAAAAAACAAGCCAAATTAATTATTTAAAAAAAAAACAAATCTAAATAGCAAGTAGTATCCTTAAAGCAATGCATTTTGGGGTTGTTTTTTTTTTGTTTTCATTGTAAGAATCTTAATAAAAAAATTTGAAAAGCAATATGAAAATGTAAAAAAGGTAAAAATCACTTTTCCATATCATATTAATATAAAATTAAAATTAGCAGTGAAAAGTCTACCCAATATTTAAGTATGGCAGCTGCTGTTAGAAAAGCATTTGTTGTTGTTGTTTTTACTGAATGTATTTGTGTTGAAGAAATAGGAAATAATTGATTGTTTATGTTAGTTGAAAGTGGAAAGCTAACAGATTTTGTTGAATGATTTACTTGAATAATTCGATGTTTCATTTTTTCGGTTGAATATTTTCTTATTCGATATGATTTTGTTCGTCTCATGGTGTATGATAATGATGATAAATGATGAAGATTTTGTTGAACAATTGATGAATGTCTTCGTTGTTTTTTATGACGACGTTCTTTTGAAGAATTTTCATATGTAAATGAACGTACATTTGATATTGATGATGATGATGATGATGATGATGCATTTGCAATGATATTGTTATGTTTTGTATTATTTAATAATGAATTTGATGAAACTATTGGAGAATTTGAAGATAATGAACTTGATGATGGATCTGTTGATGAAAATGATTTAATATTATTAGAAGATAATTTTTCACTTGATGAATTTCGTTTTGTTAATATTTGATTTTTTTCATTTTCAATTAATAAATTTTCTTTTTCTATATTAATTATATTTGATCTTATTGGTAATATTTCATTGTTGAAATCGTTTTTTATGCGTAAATTTCGAAAACTATTTGAACGAAGAAATAATCGAATTGTATCCATTTACTTTATTATTTTAATATTAAACAAAAATATCTATATATATATTTATTAGATTGAATACCTTTTGACGAATAGATTCCAAATAATACGATTAATTCATAAAAAACAAACAACGATTAAACAAGATACGTCTCTATTAATGCTTCTTTATGTATATTACATTTTTCTTCTCGTTTGTCTCACTTTTCTTTTCTCTTTCTCGTTCGATGCCCTTTGAGTTAAAAAGGGCCGAACCATCCTCTCTTTTTCTTGCATATATTTGTTGTTTTTTTGAAAAAAAACAGTATTTGTATGTAGGAGAAAAATTGGAATAATGTGCGATTGTAGGAGTAAAAATATCTCTCATTGTTTTACTATTTGACATTATTCTTAACTCCTAAGAGGATTGAAACAAAACTATAATAGATTAATTATATTGAAATATATTTACAAATAAAAAGTTGAAATTTTGTTTTGAAAAAAACAAAAAACTCGTAATAACTTACATTATACCATGGTTTCTTCTTTTTTGTTGCTGATGATGACGAAGAAGATTTCTCTTGTGTTGGAGAAGAAATATTATTTTCATTTCTTTTCTTCATATTTATTGATGGTGAATTGATTTTTTTTGAAGATTTTCGTTTTTTTTCATAAGAACTATTATTTGTTATTGCTGATTCATTACTTGTTGTACTTGTTGATGATGATTCAAGTATTGTTGTTCGTGGATATGAATTAATTGATGATAAATCTACTAAATTTGCATTTATAACTGGTTCACTTTTATTTCTTCTATGATCAATTTTACGATGTTTAGTTTGAAGATATGATAATGATGATAAATTAACTTTATCTGTTGATTCATTTAATATTGATTTATTTTCTTCAAATGATATATCATTACTATGTGATGGAGATGATACTACAAACATTTTTATATTTGATGATTCATTATTTGGAAGATTTACAATATCTATACAAATTAAAATGTTTTTTTTTTGTTTTTATAGATTTAAAAAAAAATATTTAATAACCTGTTTGTTTGTCAGAAGAATTTGTTTCATTAAAATAATAAGTAGTTCCTGAGATATTCGATGATGTATTACATGTTTGTGATGAGATATTATTTAATTGCTGTCGTGGACCTACTGGCAATGTTATTGATGAAGATATTAATGCCACTTGACTAGATTCTTCCTTTGGTGGAGAACATTCAGATGAATAACTATTCGAAATAATTTATATTTTTTTATTTTCACTTTTTTTAAATAAAACAAAAATAATAAACAATTAAATTAATCTAAATCTCATATTTATTCAAATCTAATTAACTGTTTACTTTTACTCATTAGATTATCAAATGAACATATTTTATCATTATTTAAACTAACTGTATAATAAAATGGAAAACAGTTTATTCTACGTTGAGAATTCTTCTTTTTTTTTTTTTGTTGTTTTTCATAGAACTTATTTTATTATAATATGTTAAAACACATCTAACGAAGTGGAGAAATAAAAATGCTTCGACTCACTTAGATAGTTAGAAATTTTCTCATCGTCATAATAATTGCGGTTTTTTTTTATAACATAGAACAAGGTCAATATGTCTTATATATATGAAGTAAATCATATATTCGCAAAATTATACTTTATTTATAACTCGAACTTGTTGAAAAGCAGTATTTTATTTCTTTTTTTTTTATATTTAATTAATTATTTACCTATTCTGACAAAGTGAATTCAAGATTTACTCAAGACAAACAATCATAATAAGTATTCATATGAGATTAAGAAAAATCCTAAAATAATCGTCTTTACGGTGTATGTTCACTGAGTTTCAATGTTACTCACATTAGAAAAAGATAAGTAAATTACTTTTTATAAAGGAGCAGATACAAGTAAAATATATACTATCTATTAGTATAAAGTTCACATAAATTATCATGGGATTGTCGAGTATTCCAAAAGTCAGTTCTGAAGTAAAACGAAACAATTCTTTATTGATTGAACCGATTCCCATGAGATTTTCGTCATCTCATTAGATACTATCACAAGTTTTATTTCATATGATTTCTCCGATAAATATTGTTTCACATGATCGTCATCAATACTCAAGCATGGAATGATGTTTTGTGACACAATTAGCAGAGAATCAATTCATAAAGATTATTTTCAGATTATTGTAATCTCATCATTGATTCTTATTTATCTATTTATACATTGATTTTCGACAAATATTTCGAAAGATATGGTTTCATGCTTGAGTATTAATGATGATCATATCAGATAATAGTTATTGATGAAATTGTATGAAATAAAACTTGTGATAATATTCAAATAAATAATGAAAATCTCATGTGAATCAGTTTAATCATTGAAGAGTTATTACAATCACATTTCACGGACGTCTTTTCTGAGAGTCAGTATGTAAAAATGACATACGAATAGAGATCGTCTCAATATGTGGTAAATATCTAATCGAAATGAAATTCTAAATTTAAACAATATCTAATAATTATCAATGATTTTTGCTTAATGCTTTTATTACCTGTTTAAGATAAAAAAAGGTCTCTAAGATTACTATCAATTTTAGCAATGATAAAATTATTTCTTTCCAGGACTTTTATCTAAAAAAAATTGGGTATGAACCAATAGAATTAAAGTAAATATTGACAAACGACAATTGCAAATCTATTTCTCTATTGAGAAAATATTTGTAAAAGACAATTTTATTCTTTCTTTCTTTTTTTTATTTCTATTGACAAAGGAGAAAAATCAAGCGAAATAAATTGATAAATTTAATTGAATATCTGAATTAAAATTGTTTGTATTTCATATAATATTCTCACCTTATATTTGTTCCATCTAAAATAATAACAGGTGGAATTTGTGACATATTTATCTAAATCTAAAAAGAATCAATTGACAACAAACACCTTTTTTTTTTAATTTTGTTCTTGAAAGAAAAACAACGACATTTCAATTTTTTTTTTTTTCATATTTAAAAGACAAAAGCACGAATAAAGAAAAGAAAAATAAAGTAAAGATAAATATATTTAGTTAATTTAATAATAGAATCTTTTCTTTCAATTGATAAATTATGTTACATTGGAGGACGATTTTGTCTAAATGAAAAAAAAAACGAAAACATTTAGTTTTTCAAATAAAAAAAATTATTAATAAAAGAATAAAACTCGAGCTCAGCATAGCGAAAGCAAATAAAAACAAAGTGTTCATCTCTTTACAAGTTATGTTGTTGTTATTCTTTGATTATTTTGTATTGAAGCCATTTGATATGTGAAGGGATTATTACTTAATTAAATTACATTTTATTTTATTTTTTCAATATTTATCAAATAAATATAAATTAATATCAAAATAAGAAAATCATTTTCTTGAAAAAATAATTTAACTCAACTTTTCTGAAGAATTTCAATTGAAATATTTATCTAAGATAAAAAATAAAACTTAATTCAACATGAAAATTTTTATTTTATAGTTAACTATTCAAACTAAGATTGATCTTCAATTTAATGTACTTTATCGATGTTTCTTTTCTTCTCAAAGAGAAATTTAAAAAATCGAAAGGTTTATATCAACTTCTTGGAGAAATATCACTCTTCCGCTTGTCAGACTCAATAAAACATTATGCTTACAACAAAAATATTACAATCAGTTATTCTAAGACTTAAACAAGCTTGTCCAGATTTTTTTAGTAATGGGAAGGGATCAAAATTCGTCAGAAACTCAGAAAATTTCCGCAGAAAGTGCTACAACTGGTGATCGGAAAAAAAGAATAAAAGACACGAGTAACCCGACCCTTTGCGCCATAAGGCCATTTCTTCCTCCAATCCTATTCACCTCGCAACGATATTTTCTGATTATTTTTGTTTCACTTTCCTTTAGAGAAAGGTAAATCATGTTTTAAAATCCTGCCTCTGGTCCAAGGTTACGACGAAACTGTCAAAAAACTGTCAGAAAGTCGGACATTTTGGGGAGGAAAATCTCACAACCCTAATTGAGAAGCTAGGATGCAATGCGAATATATTAGATTCTTTTTTGTTAGAAAAATGTGATCAAATGAATAATAAGATGAGTCAATGAATATTTACGAATAAATGTATGACATCACATTAAATCAAATATATAGAAGAGAAATCGGTTTCTTTTGTATTTTTCTTTAATTCACTCATGATAAATCTGTCAGAATTCGAAAATGGAATTTTAATTGACATATTATTGAGTTTTTTTTCTAAATCAGTGTATCAACGGTGGAAACTATTTTTACTTTCGAACGATAATAAAAAGTCAACTAAATCTATAGTGTTTTCTCTTATATTAATAATAAATAACGATGTTGAATAATATACTGTTAATGATATAGTAGAAATATTTTTAAAAAAAATTCCCTATGACATTTATAGAAAAAAGTTTTCAATTGAATAGTGAATTATTTTTTATAAATTCTATTATATTTTAGTTCAAAAAATTTTTTTTTTTTTTCAAGGTTAGAATTTAAATGAATAATAAAATTAGTGAAAATATATTATTGATAATAGTACAAAATAAGAATTTAATAAAAAGTCTTACATTTTCCATGTTTTATGAAGAATAAAAAAGACGACGAATGTAATCATACACACAATTCCGACAGCAATATAAGACCAACCAAGAAATGGATTTTTTCCTCCCATCCATGATGTTGTACTTATTATAAATTGTTTTCGTCCAGCAAAACTTGTTACTGGATAATCTTTAAAACAAAACAAAAAAAAATTCTTAAAAAATAAAAATTACAATAAAATATTACTATAAGTAACAACAAGAGTATAATCTCCTTTTGGTAAACCATTTTGAAATGTAGAATTTCTTAATAATTTTCTATATAATTTTCTAAACGTTGGCATTGCAGCAGTTCGCATCCAAACAATAAAATCTTCATTTTGATAACCATTATTTTCTGGATTGGGTTCATCTAATTCCCATGCTGATAATTTCCAATTTGGTGGCTTGTCATGTGTAGATGAAAAATCTATTTAAAAAAAAAAGAAAGTTTATTCTTCAAAAATTAAAATTAAATAAAAATTTTTACAATTTGAAGCATTATCTGGATTTTTAAATTTGACTGCTTTATCTGTTGACCATGCAATGCCAAGATTTGTAACTGAAACATTTTCGCTTCCATATAATAAAGATAATGTATCTAAAGATTTTCATTTAAAATAATATTTAAAAAAATAATAAAGCACAATTTAATAAAAGATACTAAACCATTGAATTTGGAATTTGCAATAGCACCACATGGTGCATAATCTTTACCACTTCCAGTACTATTTTTTTGAAATGGTTGACATTCACTTGCAGCTGCACCTTCTTTACCTAATAATTGATTATCATCACGAGATCGAACATAACGACGATGATTTTGATAATAATTTATTAAACCATAATAAAAGTAAACGTCACCCTAGAAAACTTATTTTGAAAAAATGTTTTTCTTTTTAAGTTAAAAGTAAACTAACATCAAATGATTTGTCTAGAGCAAAATTTATTCTACAGGTACAAGTTTGACCAGTATAATTTGCATTTTCTAAAGCTTGTGCACACGTTGTATTTGCTGCAGTAGTACTCATACAATTTGTATCAGTATAATCAATATCATGTTCAAGTACCTTTTTTTTGTTTTTGTTTTTTTTTTATAAAAAAAATTATTTATAAAAACAAAAATTCAAGAAAAAAAGTTCATACTCGTTCGGATGTAATAACAAGTACAATACCAATTGGAATAAATGTTAAACCGATAATTAAAAACACCGGTAGTGCTGTATTAGCAGTTATTATTGGTTGCCATGCTGGTAAACGTTGTTGTTTAAAAGCTGTATCTATTTCAAAAAATATTCATTAACGACTTAAATAAATATTATGATTTTATTAACCAGCTGGTTTTTTGCTTTTTTGTTGTTCATGATCTTCTTCAGTTTCTCCTTGACCTGGCATCTTTGGTTTTTTTTCTTGTTTGATTTATCAAGGAAACTTTTTTTTTAAACAAAAATAAAGTAAAATTACTAATTAAAGTATAGACTTATTTACGTGCATACTTTAAATAAAAAACAAGAACAGAACAAGAAACTAAAGGACGACGTCATAGTATTCATCACTCTTTTTAAAAAATTGATTAGTCATCAAAAATTTTTTCATCTTTTAAAAATATTCTATTATTATTTTCTTAACTAAATTTAATATTATTTTCATTAAATTTGAAAATAAAACAAAAATGACATGAATAGATGTCACCTGTCATCGACTAAGAAATCATCTCTGATATATTTATATACGGGCAGTCTTTTCAGAGCTGATCGGAGACAGTCAACATTTGGACACGAGAAAGGGCAGACAGTAAACTATTTGAACAATGAAGAAATTTTTTATCGAATATTATAAAAAATGGACAAGTCGCCAACGCGAGTATCTTTTGAGTAGCCATGTACTGAAACAATTTGGAGCATGATATCTACCCAAGATCTTGTTTCATACTGTTCTTAAGGTACCCATTCTGCTACCTTAATGAAAACTATCATAATACATGGATAACTTAAACTCAGTACCTTTTCTAAGACAATTCAACAAAACTTCTTTTTCCTCTTATTTTTTCCTTTTTTCCCGACGTACAATGTTAAAGAGCTATGCAGACCATAGATAGGTAGCCCTTTAAATATTATAGGCATTACTGATAGTATTTTCTTCATGTTAATTAATTTAATCACTTAGTATTAATGAATTAAGTGTTAGATGAAAAAACTTGTTATTGATACTAATGATTAATTGATCCGTTAATACGTAATATTAAGTGATAAGCAATAGCTTTTAATTTAATTTTAAATGAAGGTAAATGGCTCAACCTCTAATTACCTGTATAGCATATCTCTAATGAACAGAGTATTATTTTATTCTTTTCTTATTTGCACATGAAAATGAAAATATACGATCGAAAAGAAACTTTACGAATGGATGATTTCTCTGTAGGCATAATGTAGCTATGAGAATGTCCGTTTAGTATATAACTTAGATTGCACATGTTGATCGTTCACATTTCCTCTATTTTGTATGCTATATATTATGATTTTATAATGGTATGTCGTTCCATAGAATGAAAAAGAAGATATAAAGGTGATGAGAGAAAAATCACAACTTTGAGAATAAATGCTAGAGAAAGCATTTCTCTTGTTTCTATGTGTCCACGACAACAGACAAAAGAGGCAATAGAACGAATTGTAAGGAAAACTGACTTTCGTGTGAATTAATTAGATTTTCTTTCGCTGTTCCTGACTAGGATCAGTCACAGATGTTCGTTTTTCGAATTGTTAAAAATTTATGATAAGAAATATCTATTAAAAAGGTTACATTTAAGACAATCATTCGTATTTCTATTACATAACATTTTTTATTATTCTTTCATATTGTTTTTCTTGTATATACGGATGTTGCTTTTATATTCATCCACACCCCACAACTACCCCAAACTCTTTGATGATTTTTCTGATTAAAATGATTGACATTTTTTTTCTATTTTCATTATTAGAGATGTTTTCTTCTAAAAAATATTCAAAATAAATTCAAACTAATAAATTACCACGACAAGAAACTATAACACATCAAATGAAAGTCAAGTTAAAATCAAACCTTGAAAAATTCTCATTTTCTTCATTAAAATAAATTGATAATGTTAAAAAACGATGGCTGAAATAAAGAGCAAAAAATTCTTTCACATTAAATAAAGATATTTAAAAAGAATTTTTCATTTTTCTCTCATAAATCGATAATTTTTTGAATGAATTTATTCGCTATTTGAAGAAACTATATTCTATCACACAAATCCTTCGAGTTGATCTTCATCTGATTTTAATTCAAGTCAAAGATTGTATACTTTCATTACAATATATTGTTATGATTCGATTCGTTTTTTACAAACAAATTTGTAACCATAATATAAATCTTGTTACTATTTAAAAAAATATTGTTTATTTCAAGTATGAATCACATTTTTTTTTGTCACGATCGATCGAAAAAAAAAGCAGAAGTGAAAGAAAGAAAAAAAAGAATTTTATTTGAATAAGAAATCAAGTACAAATATTTTCATCTGTTCTTAGCAAGTGTTTTTATTTCATCCATCTTTTTTTCGCTGACTTAATGGAACAGTTGAAAGCAATCTTTTTTAGTACAAAACGAAGTCAGAGTGTTCATCTTTACAGGTAAATCATTTCTTTTATTTTCTAATATTTGACTTTTAAACAGAAAAGCAATGTGAAATACGAATATCATGAGAGATACTATAAATCGCACTTGGAAACCATAGATGTCGTTATATAAACCCTCATATATATGTCATTAAATGAAATAAAAGATGAAATTGATGATTTTCAAATAAAAATTCCTTTTGATTGATAGATAAAACTCAATAATTAATTAAATAGAATTATTCAATATCGAAATATAACGAATTTTTTCTTTAAGCAAATATTGATTACTGTTCGTGACAAAAGGAAACCTCTGCATAAAACACATCTTTCCATTTAAATCAAAACTCTCTCAAGAGTCCTATGTTTACAGACACTTATGAGTTTAAACAAAATGTTTTTTTGAAAAAAAACAATTCTTAATAAGATCTATTGAATTAACAAAAACCATTGAAATCAATCGATAAAAAAAAATCGTACGTTTAACGTAATAATGACTATTTAATGATAGCTTGTTTCTTAGGTTTCTGTAATTCGTATCGTTTCGGACTTTTTTTTTTTATTATTTCTTTTTCTCTTTCATCAATCATTATCAATTTTCAATAAACATATTTATACGACTAAACGAGAAATGAATAATGCTGCCAGTAATTATGTGTAGGTATATATATATAATCTGCAGGTGAGACTGTCTTATTATTCACATGATTTGCTCTTGGTAATATATTCGTTCGAGAAGAAAAAGAAGAAAAAAACATGGGTTTGACACTTTCAAAACAAGAGAATATTTCATCTTCTGTTTTATCAAACGAAGTCGAAGCATCATATAATCAAGTTCTTAGTGCGTTTAGAGAGGATTTTCCAATATTGACACAACATCATAATGAAAAATCGAAAAGAGATTTATCACATACAAAACAACGTGATAAAGAAGAAATTATGAAAGTAACATATCCATATAATCGATCACGTTCATCAAATGAATTTCGTTCAAATGAAAAAGAAAATATTTCAAGAAATTCGTCTGTTATACGACGTCCATGGCTTTGTCAATTATGTCAAACATTAAATCAAATTGATTTTCAATTATGTTCTCAATGTGGTTCAAGTAGAATCAATGTTTATATTCCTATTATGAATCATATCGATAGAACAAATATTCAAAATCATCATCAAAATGATTCATTGATTCCACACAGGTAGATCGTGTTTTTTTTTTCTTATTATAAAATAAAACAAAATCTCAGATTAAATATATAAATTATTAATATAGTGATTGGGTAAAATATGGTTATGAAAATTGGAATGATGAAAATCTAGTTGAACAAGAAAATATATATCGACGTAGTGTTCTTATAACACATAAACGTAAAGCTGATGAACATATGGTTTTAAAACATTTTGAAAAACTTCGTAATACTTTAACATTATCTCATAGTCGATTTAAAGATGAAATATTTCCAGCATCACTAGAATCACTTTATATTAATGGAAATTCTCTTTCATCATCAACATTAGCTTTTTTACCTACTCAACAAACGAATTTATCTCATAATAATTATATTCAATGGTTAAGACCTGATCAAATAAATCCACCAGAATCAAGTGAAAATAATAAATATCAATGGACAGTTTTTAGAAATCCAAAACCAAATGATGTTCTTCAAGGAGCTTTAGGTTTTTCAATATTGAAAATTTATAAATTTAATTTTTGCTCAGAATATTTAAGGTGATTGTTGGTTTATTACTGCTTTGAGTGTTCTTGCTGAACAACCTGAAAATTTAATGAGAGTAAGTTCAATTTTCCTTCTTTTTTTCTTTCTCATTAAATCAATATATTTGTTTTTAAAACAAAAAAAGGTACTTGTGACGAAAGAATATAATCATCAAGGTATTTATTATGTTCGTTTATGTAAAGGTAAAAATATTAATTCATATTTAATAATTCAATAATTATATTTTAATTAAGATGGTGAATGGACACAAGTTATTGTTGATGATCGTCTTCCATGTACATCTAATAAAAGATTAGCTTATTCTCAAGCACGTAGAAAACAACTTTGGGTAATAAAAACAAAGAAAAACAACTTTTTTTTTTTTTGTTTTCTTTAAATCAAACTTAAAATAAAACTTGTTTTAGGTTCCATTAATTGAAAAAGCTTTAGCAAAATTAAATGGAAGTTATGAAGCAATTATTGCTGGTCGTTGTTGTGAAGGTTTATCAACAGTAACAGGAAGTCCATGTGAAACATTAATTCTTGGTCGAACAAATAATCCTGATGATAAAAATGTTGATTATAATTTATTATGGATGAAATTATTATATGCACGTTCACAAAGATTTTTCATGTGTGCTATGTGTAGTAATAATCGTATTAATAAACAAGAGTTTGAAAATAATGGTTTACTTAATATTCATGCTTATTCATTACAAGATATTAAACAATCAAATGATGGAAAATATAGATTAGTTAAATTAAGAAATCCATGGGGAGGAACATATAGATGGATTGGTTTGATTTAATATTTATTTATTAGAATTTATTTATTTTTTTATTTATTTAGGTGATTGGTCTGATGATTCTCCATTATGGATTCAAAATCCTGATTTACGTCGAGAATTATTAAAAGAAAAACGAAGTAAAAGAGATGGAGTTTTTTGGATGCCATTTGAATCATTTGTTAAATATTTTGAATGTGTTGATATTTGTAAAATAAGACCAGATTGGTATGAAGTTCGAGATTCAGCTAATTTTTATCCTGAACAAGGAACGATACAAGCTTATTATTTAATTATTCAAACTGTTACTGAACTTGATATAACACTTCATAGAAAAATAAGTAAAAATCTTCGAATTCAACGAAGTGATGTTAGTCTTTGTGTTGCTATTGTTAATGTTGAACAAAAATCTTGTGGAAATTATAGAATTTCTTCAATTCCAATAATAAGTCAACATGGTCAACATAAATTTGTTTCAACTGATGGTTGTCTTCAACCAGGAATTTATCTTGTATTACCTTTTCTATTTAATCCAGTTAATAAACATGTTGATAATACTGAATTTAATATTGGTTTGTTTTATTTATTTTTTTTTTATTACAAAAAGTAAATTATTTTTCTTTTTTATTTTATTTAAGCTGTTCATAGTTGTCATTCAATTGATCTTGAACGTATTAAAGTTCCATTCAGAATTGAACGAGAATTTTTAATAAAACTTTGTATAATTTATGGTGAACAAGTTATAAAAGAAAATAAAAATGAAAATGAATTAAATGATGGAGTTAAAATTTATGAATTAAAAAAATATTGGGATGGTCTTATTTTACTTGTTGAAAATCGAAATCTAAATAAATCTGTACATTTTCATTTTCGTTGTACTTTATCACAAAATGCATTTATGTCAAGAAAAGATTCTCATCATCAATTATTTGATGTTATACCATCAATGCATAGACAAATTATTGTAACTATATCAAGAAAAAATTCTTTACATTCATTTACTATTGGACATGATTTTCAATATAATCTTTCATCACAAAATTTTATTAAAAATTCTCGTTTTAATAAACAAAAACATTGGCCTAATATTGATGAATCAACATGTAGTCAAGATATTCATTTACCACAATGTATTTATAATGTTAAACAACAATAAATTTCATTTTGTCTTTTATTAACATATTTATTTTCATTCTATTTTTTTTTCATTTTTTATCAAATAAAAAATATATGAAATCGTAAACAATTATTTTCACAAATATTTCATAATATATATTCAAATTAAGATCAATTTTTTATTTCTATTTGATATTTATTATATTAAGATAAATTGTTACAAGAACTTTTTTTTTGTTGAATTTTGTCTCTTGCACGGATACGAATTTTTGCAACTGGATTGGGATAGCTAAACGCAATATCCGACTGAATCCAGACCGAAACCAATCAACATCTCTCAAATACTTTCATAGTGATAGTACAGTTTTCAAATTTTGGCTTTATATGAAAACGGATACTATTTACTTTCTTCCGTAATGCGCAAAAAAAAGAGATGATCTTAAATTTCATAGGAAAGTAAATGATTCAATATTGACTTGATGTCTTTCTGCTTCTAAAACCCGATCAAATTCGTTAATTATACATTTTGCTTATTGCTGATAACATTGGAATGGAACATGATGTTGATGCCAAATGTCATAATTGTAGATAGATAAATCAATGCTTTTTCTATCACGATAAGATATATTCATCTTTTTTACTAATTCATCTTCGTCTCGAAATATTCGGTTATTCAGTCATATTATGATTCATTATCATCCGTAGATGAATTTTCGTTAAAAATGAATTGTTTTCAACTATAATAAAAATAGTTCAAGTTTTCACTCCGTTCAGCTATGAGATTATATTCGAGACTCGAATCTATGCTCTGGGTTAAATTATGAAATTCTTAGTTTTGTTGAATAAAAATCATTTGAGATTTTTCCATTAATTGATATCGAAAACAAAAGATCAATTTATATACTGCCGATTATGATCCAGAATAGAAAATTTTATTTTTACAAGAAAATCTTCTCTAATACATCTTTTCAATTTCAATGAACCTCTTTTTTTCTTATAAAAACTTCTTCGCGTTCGAGTAAAAATTTTTATCGAAATTTGACTAAAGCCTAAAGTTTGTCTGGAATGACGATATTTTTGAATTTGAATCTAAGAATTGATCTAGATAAAAAAAAACTCAAATGTATTTGTCTCTATTAACAATTCTAGAATTTTTCAAAGCATTAATATATTGTTGAATACCCTTAAATAAATATTTATTTTATTCAAAGGAATCAGTGAATTTGAGAAGAACTCAATCATACTTGGAATATAAATGTTATTCGATGAAATTACGTTTATTGATTAAATTGTTTTTCTATAATTTCTAATAAAAATCATCATTGACAATGATACAAGACTATAAACAAAATATAATTTTTCTTATGCTTTTAGTCTTGGATCATTCGGAAAAGTATAAACAAATGCAATAGAAAACCCAATTTATTTTCTAATGAACACTTATTTTTAATAGTGAATATGTAATAACAGTCAACGTTTTAAACCATTAAGAATTGTTGTCTGTTTATTGTCAATTGTGTAGATCTTAGAAGATTATTTTTGATTTGAAAACATCTATATTGAAATTTCATTTTATATTAGGAAGAGTAAATCGAAGTCTATTAAAAATCTGAATTAAGAATTTTTTTCTTTTTATTTTATTTAAGTTCATAAGAAAACTTTTGTCTTGAAATATTCAAAAAATTAGTGGAAATAATTATGTTGACAAATAATAAAGATCATAACAGTATTTTACCATTCGAGACCCATTTTCCAATAGTTTTAACAAATGAAAACTAAATACTTTACAAAAAAAAAGAATCTCATCACATTTCAATATTGGCAGGTTTTTTCCTTTTTGATTGATGAAAATAATTATTTCAGTACTTCATAGTGCTTAAAATAATTCACTAGATTTATTTCAATGTACAAAATAAAGATCTCAATGAATAGGACAAAAATTATTCAAGACTGGAAATTTCCAAATTATTTCTTCTACGTCAGTGGTATTGGAGTTGCAAAAACTAAGAGTCGTCCATCTAGCAACTTCACTTTCTCAGTTACATCTCGCTTGATTTCAATAGAAAGATCAAAATACTGCGCGACCTCCCAAAACGCATGCTTTTTTTGTGTTTTATTAATTGGAGCGGTTTTTTTTTCTAAATCCTGGCAAAAACCAGTAGCACATCATATTTTGAAAAGAAAATTAGACATCCTAAACACTTTCTAGTATAAGTAGAAAGAAGTTTCAGCTCGATTAAATGTACTGTGCTCGAGAAATGGAGACGATTCATTGACTTTTTTTTGTCAAAAAACTCATTTTTAACAAAGCGTGAAATAATGCCTAATATATTATGTTTTCAAGCAAAAATTTATTATATTTTCTGATTTTTCGAGTTTTATAGTTCTCTATTACTATTTGAAATATGTTCAGTAGAATAGTGGATACTTTGAAGTGTATAAAGACTAGAGAAAAAAGTAACAATGAAAAATTTTAAAATTTTCGACCGGAGAGAAATAAAGGTTCCTAAAGTCAGAACAATTGTGATGGTGAATTTTCTAAAAAATATTTTAGTAAATTGTTTTCTATGTGCATTCATAAAGAACTGAAAAAATAAATTTCTTTTGAAAAAAAATTTTCATCAAATAAAAATAGTTATTATTTATCAGTTTATTCAAATTTTTTAAATAAATTTTTAAATTTTCTTCTAGAAAAAAAGTATTCTCTCCTATGTAAGTAAAAAGAAAGTTAAAGAGAAATTCTTTTTTTTTAATTAACTTTATTTGAAAAATCTATTTTAGTTTGACGAAGACATCATTAGAGAATCTATTTTAATCTTTTCATTTTTGCTTTGTTTCCTCTTTTTTTTTAATCATTAAAATGACATGACTTGGCGTTGGATTTTTAACATCAATAGGTTTATTTTTTTCGCTAAATGCCGTTTTTATCATTTATTTTTATACTATTAAATGAAATTAATAGAAAAATAAATTTGAGAGAAAATGCTTTTTATCCGAATGAATAAAGAAGAATATTTTTATTATTTAATAAATAAACTTTAGCTGGAATTTTGAAAATGAGTTCGATGTATGTAACATGACGTGATATTATATTTATATTAACTTTAATTATTCTTTTTATTAGTCGTATTATTTGTTTATGTTATTAACGTCCATTATTCGATATTTTATTTGATTTATGGTCACAAATTCAACTAAATAATAATTATATTAATCGAAGTTTTACTATTTTACATTAAACTTTTTTTCAATAAAATAATTATCCATTTTGTCATTTAACCGTACCACTAAATATGTATCATTATCATTAGTAAATATATTTCACTGAGATCAATTCAAAGAAAAAAACAAATTAACTACATGAAAAATGAATAAGACAAAAAAAAATAAATGAATTATTTTTTTGTTTAAGATGTTGTTTTAGCTAATTGTCCTCGATCAATATTTTGATCAATTTGTGTAGCTGATTGAGGTCTTATATCAAATGAAAAAATATCAATTGGTAAAGAAAGTGTACAACAAGCATTAGGAATATCAACAATAGATCCAATACGTCCTTCAATAGGTGCAGCTGATAATAAACAATAAACTTGTTCTTCACTATAACCAAAAAGTTTTAAATATCGAATAGCTGAAAGACATGCTTGACGATAAGCTAATGTTGCATCAAGAAAATATTGTTTATCTTTATCATCAACTGATATTCCTTGAAATGTTAAATAATTCGAATAACGAGGTTCAATAGGACCAGGTTGAATTAATGGATTATTTATTGATAAACGAGACATACCATCTTTAATTATATCAACACTTAAATCAACATAACCACTCTAGAATTAAAATATTAAAGTAATAGATAAAATAAAACAAAAATAAATAAATGTACCATTTCAATAGCACCACAAAATGCAATTTCTCCATCACCTTGTGAAAAATGAATATCACCTAAACTTAATTTAGCTCCATTAACATAAACAGGTAAATAAGCACGTGAACCTCGTGAAATATTTTTAATATCAGTATTACCACCATGTTCACGAGGTGGAATTGTACGAGCTCCTTGAGTAGCAATTTCTTTCCATTTACTTTTATTATCTTCAAATTTTAATCGACCTAAACAAGCACCTTTTTCAATAGGTGGATTTGCAAAAACAGAATATTGATGATGTGAATGTGTACAACGATTAATTAAATCTTGTTCACGTTTATTCCATCGAGATAAAAGTTCATGTGATGGAGCACAACCAATAATACCTTTTATAATTATTTAAAATATTAACTAAAAAAAAGATAAAAATTTCATTACCTGGATGAGTAAGTCCAGCAAATCGAACATTTTTTATATGTCGACTTGTTGCATAAATTCCAGAAAAATCCCATATAGCTTTACATGCATTGGGATAAATATCACTTAAAAATCCTCCTCCATTCTTTTTATCGAAAATTCCTGTAAAACCCCACATAGATGATGGAAGAGGACCTACATCAAGAATATCAACAACAAGAATATCACCAGGAGAAGCACCTTCAACTTCAATTGGACCTGATAAATAATGAATACGTGTTAAATCAACATTTTTAACATCATCAGCTGAATCATTATTTCCAATTTGTCCTCCAGTCCAATCAACACATTCAATACGAAAAACATCATTTCGACGAACTGATATAACACTAGGAATATCTGGATGCCAACGATTATGAAGAGGAATTAATTGTTCTGTTGGTGATCGATTAAGATCAACACTAATTAAAGGTTTAGCAGCATATGAAATAGCTGTAGATAGTGTTCGACGTAAAACTAACATCACTTAAAACAGGTTTTTTCAGTGGAAAAAGAAACGACGAAATGACCTCGTTTAACTTTCTTTCATTTACTCTTTGATAATAATAGTTTATCTATCACTTTATCTTAATATATAACGCAATAGAATACACTTAGTACCCTTGAATCAATATAAGAGATTAATATAGAATAACCTTAGATTCTATTTGATTGAAACCAACCTATAGTATGCATCAATTATGCTACTCTCTCATTTGTTGAAGATATTCACTTTGAATACAAAAATATGTTTATTTTTTTAGTTTTTTTTTTAATGTAATGTTACTTCGTTATTGGAGTTTTAACAGTTGAACCAAACTTTCGTCTTTTCTTATGAGATCTTTTTTTCATTATGAAAACTATCGAAAGAAATTTAAAGAACCGACTTTGTTATATTTTACATTCTACAATAGAAAATTTTTCATTTAACTTATCAAAAAGAATATAAAATTTCATGCATATGACATGATATTCTAAATATATTATTTTGATTTATTGAATAAATGCTTTGCACTATTATTGTAGAAAATATAACTATATTATATTTTAATATCTTCAAAGAGAATTTGTCTCAACGATTGATCATGATTGATAGCTATCAACAAGTATTTCGATCACATTTGTTCATTGCTATGATCTAACATCATTTGAATAAATATATTAATGAAGTATAAGTTTCATTATGAATAAAAAAAACCTCGAGAAAGAAAAAATCTTTCCGCAAGAACTCATATATAAAAGCTCAATTTCAATCATAGACTATAAATGGATTGTTTCGATTTTCACTCAGAAAATCAATGAACTATCAACTTAGACCTTGAGAAGTTAATGATGAGTACAACGAATAGTCGAAAATTAAAAAAAATACTTTGCTTTTTGTGCATTCTGTAGAAATTTCATGGTCCTCGGTAGTCATCGAATATCAAGCACTCGGATATAATGTCTTATCATCTGGCACTGTTTTTTCGACTCGTTGAACTTATTTCGACCTCCATTGAACTTTCGAGTGCTACGATGGAACCAAAATTATCATCATAATAATTTTAACTGTTTGCTCTAATATTGATAATATGAAACTTCTTGAATATCTGATATTGATCTATGATTTATTTTTGTTTACAATAGTCTTTGCAGAATTATTTATGTTTAGTATATATTTCGACTTAATCTCATCTTTTTCTACACGATATTTATCATTCACTGATTTAAGTCATGATAGAAAGCCGATCACGTTCTTGATGAAGACATTGAGTTTTATGATCAGTCATATTCTAAATACCGTGAAAAGATTATTTTATTTTGCTTAATAAAAAATATAATTTTTGAAACTTGAAAAACTAGAAGTAAAAGTTGAACGTTATATAAACAATTGTCAAAATAGTTCTTATTGTTTTTATGAACTGAAAAGGTAATTTTCATAGAAGAATAATAGTTCATATTTAATTTCATTGCTTGACAAAAGGTAAACGTAGATATCTATATTCAAATCTGCTTCTCAACATATATTTGATAAGTCTCGATAGGTTAATATTAAAAGATCTATCGAAACTAAAAATCCTTTTTATTTCGATCCGCTCAGAAATTGCTCATCCAATGATCTAACACTAAGCTCTCGATCTATTGGAAAGTGACAATTCGAGAATTCGATCTAGAATTTCGATGTTTACGAGAGATAGAAATCGACATGCTGATTGTTTCTATTTTAGTCGAATTTCTTTTGCCAACGATGTGTTTCGCGGGTATGGATATCGATGTCTTCTTCTTCACATTGACAGCTACAGCCACATCCCACACCCTAGATTAAAATATTTTGTTATAACATAGTATTATTCTTATGAATTATTTTAACTCGTATTTTAACATTGAATAAAAAACAAAAGCCTTTATCTGATGGAATTTTCCTAATAAAATCCGTAGTTGCGTACGAAAATAAACTTATTATTATCATAAAATTCAAGATCATCTTATTATTTAGGATATATAAGGAATCTAAAGAAGCATAATTTTCATGATACATTTCAAAATGTGTTTCTTTTAAAAATGTGAAGAAAGCATAAAAAAGAAGCAAATATTCTGTCAATATTTAAAAGGTTATATTTTGCGGCTGAAAAAGTCATAAATACAATTGTGGCTTAACGGTTGCTATTTAATATTGACATAGCAAGTTTTATCAGAAAATAATCAACATTGATTGTCATATATTCTTGAGTTTTAACAGAAGCAACGAGAATTTTATAACCATCACAAGATGAAACGTCTAACGTCTTTTGTCAATACGTGAATCGATTTCTTATTTACTTCAAAGATCAAGGATAAATGATAACTATTATTGAAACGCGTGCAATAATAAATTTTAAGATATAAAATACTTCATAGACGAAAGATTTTCATTGATGTCAATGTGTTAACCGATTTGACTTTTTTTTTTTTGCTCTTTAATTTCAACATAACTTTTCAACAAATAGGAATAATTACAAGAAGTAGAAAATCATTTGAATAGAGATTAGAAACTTGCAAAGTAAACATATTTATAGAGAAATTTTCGAAATATTTATTTATTTACTCGTTGAATATAAATATTGTTTAAATAATTTCGATTTTTGACAAAAAAAAAAGCATTCTCAAAAGAAAATATCTCTAATAAAGTTTATTATTGATTTAAAATATTTTCTCTAAATATATTTTTAAATAAAATATTATAAAACATAAAGATTCGAATAAATAATAATTACATTCGAGAAATTCAATTTAAAATATATATTTGAAATAATTTGAAAATGTCATTATCGTACAACAAATAAATATTTCACATACAATAGAAATAAATCCATAACGTATTTGTTTTCAAAAAAAACAATCATAAAAATAAGAAAAAGAAAAATATTCTGGACTGTGTTTTTAATCTCAGGAAAGAATTTAAGTAGAGTGGTGATGATTCTTTCATTGGATTTTATTGGTTTTCTTCTTTTATATTCATGTGATGTTATTTTCAATCAAATATTCGATGTTTTGATGAGTGTTTGACAAAGGTAAAAGTTTTTCTATATATAAATGTCTTATATGATTTTAGATATTTCATTCGATAATTTTGAAATGAATCTTGAATTTTCTGTAAAAGAAACTGTAATCCGTCATTCTGGCGTAATTGATGAAATTCAATATGAATTTGAAGAAATTACTACTGAAAATGTATCTTTTGGTATAACAACGAAAAAAGAAAAACGTAGTCGAACATATGATTTACATATAACACGAACACGTTATAATCAATTAACTCAACACATTCCTAATGCATTATCATTTGATGATTTTATTCTTGTTTTACGTCCATTTATGATGGGATTTTACCATCATAATGAATTAGAACGAGCATTTCAAATTTTAGATAGAAATTCCTCGGGTTCAATTGATACCAATGAATTAGCAAAGTTTGTACCAATTATTAATGAATATGCAACTATTAATACTTTGAAAAATCATATTAGAAAATTAAATGTTAATATTGATGGACATTTAAATTATAATGAATTTCGATCACTTATATTACGAGGTATTGGACGTGAGCTGCTATGTACTCATGCTTAATTGATATTGTTATCTGAAAATGGACAAAAACAAATCTATTATAGTTTTGAAACATGTTTTGCTTTTTTCTTGATTGATAAATAGATAATTTATATGATTATTCATTTTAGATTTGAAAGTAATTTTATCCTATTTTAATATTCGAGTTTTTGTCTTTGTTAATTTTAATCAAAATGAAAATAAGATTCGAATTGGAATAATAATTTAAGTACGATATTCAATTTTAATAATTAAAACAATTAGTTAAGAATTATTTTTATGTTTAAATGAGATCCATAAGCTAAATAACAATGATTTAAGAGTCTTATTTCCATATTTGTAACAAATCAATCTTTTTTTTGTCAATAAACTCGAAATTAAGAATGATTTATTGTACAATGTTTTGACATTTCATCTTTCACAATCATTTATTTGTTAAGATTTTTGATGGTCTCTATGATTTTCTGCTTTAAAAAGTCTATTTACTTTTAGAAAACATATTTTCAGATGTTCGTTTGGAACAAAAAAGCATTTTAAATAAGTTTGACTAAACTTCTGGAAAAGTAAAGTTTGTCCAATCGTAATGAGCTATTGATTCATTAACATTAAAATAACGGGAAAAGTCTTATTTAAAAAATTTCAATATATAACGATCTAAATAGAGAAGAACAACAATATGTCTTAGTATATTCAACCGACAATAGAATTTATCATATTGTTTAATAAAGCTCATCAGATATTTTAAATAAATATTACAGGTACTCATCATTCTCTTCAAACTTATCAAGAAGCAATTGGTTTAAAATATTCATATATTCGAAAATTAATCGTCTAAAATTGATTTTCTTTTTTTTTATCTGTTTATGCTTTTTTTTTTGCTTGCACAACCCAAAATTGTCGAAGACACTTCATGTTGATGAATAATTTCTAAAACTAATCATTTAAAATAGTGAATTAGTCGATTTTTATTTTCTTATGTTAAGCGTATTTTGAATGACGTGTGCATTTACTTATTAATCTTATATTTCATTTAAGTCTTGAAAAAATTTTTTTTTTCAAATGAACTATTCTTTTTTAAATTAAATCACATATGACGTAAATATTCATATTGTCATTAAGAGTTCGATAGAACAGAGTTAAATATGAAATAAAAATTGATTGATTCATAAGATAAACTACATGCACAATTTTATATGTTGAATGTAAATGTAGCTTATGTGAATAGTTTCTAGTGAAGACAAAGCGTACTTGTTGCTAAAAACATTATCTGATAGAAATAACATTTTCCTTCGACTCAATGATCTGATTTGGCTAGTTTGACAGTGATCCTTTCAGAATTCTATTCGATTTCATAATTCAAATTGATTTTAAATATAAAACAAAACATTTATTGAAATGTTTCGCAATAAAATTTGTTTTCATTCTACGAGAGATTTGATCTTGGCTTAAATGAGAGGAGAAAGCATCCATATTTTACCTTATTTGGACTTTTCTCGAGCTGAAACTTTTTATTTCAATACAAAATTATTTCTTTGAAATTGATTTTGTCAAAAAAATGAAAATAAATATATTGTAATGAAGATCGATTGTTTTAAGTTATGGCTATTGATAATTCTCTATAGTCTTATACAAATAATAGAAAACCAACTTAAAGATTTTTATTTTCAATATCTAGAGTAAAGAGAAAGACTTAAATTCAATCTGATCAATTAATATCAATTCAATTATTTGTTGTAATCATTTATCATTGTAATTAAAATACTTTATATCTAATTTTTCTATGTATTTATATTAAACTATTATTGACAAAAAAATAAATAAATAAAAATTAGAAAAAAAGAATTAATTATTCATATGAGAATGAATATTAATAAAAAACAAAAACATTGATTGAACATTTTGTTTTGAAAAAAATAAATGCCCCGGGTGAGGATCGAACTCACGACCTTCAGATTATGAGACTGACGCTCTACCGACTGAGCCACCGCGGCGGCTGAACATTATTTTGCCTTTAAAAACACAGACAATGAACCTTTTTTTTTCCTAATAAACAAGAGGTGCATGCATATCATGACGAATACTTTCCAAGTTAAATTCTTTTTCAGTGAAATGACAATTAAAATTGTGTGAAAAGAGATATCAATCGTAAAAATAATAAAATAGTACAAGTAGACAATATTTTGCCAATAGGATATATCATAGGATACTTAAAACTTTGTTGTTTTTTATATTTGGATCATATGAAATAAATTAATTTGTTTCTAGAAAATAAAAACTTGTTTTGACATTTTTCAAATGTTATAATTTTATTCTTTTACTGTTATAATATTGACTGAGTCGTGATTGTTTTTTTTTTATGTTGAAACATAATAAAATCATTCGATTTAAGAGAAACTAATTAAATGTTTTAGTCTTTGCAAATATTTCTCTCAATTTTATCAATATAAATTCAATTATTATTTCTTTTAATAATTATCTTTTATTTATATATATTGACTATGAAATTCAAATAGAACAGATTTAAATATTTTCCTACATGGAAAATAATAGATTTTGAAATAAACAATCAAAAATAATATTGACAAAGACAAAACGAGAAAAATGCCTGAGTAAGATTAATAATTGATTGTTGATCAGGAACAGTATATAATCCAAGTTGAAATAAAATCATCTCTCATATACATAGAGGTACAAATAAATGAGCTAAGACATTATTATTATCGTTGTTTAAAAATTTTTCATGTTGATCACTCGATGATTTTTGCATCGTTGTATCATTTTATAAATATACTTAGTTATGATTATTATATTCTATCATTAACGTTGTTAGAGATTGACTATCAATATTTATCATATGTTTCTTTTATAATCGAATAACAAATATAATGTATTTACTAAGATGAATTTCTTCAAATAATATCGATAAAATTAATATTGAACATAAAAATATTTCTTTAGATGCTTTTGTTTGAATTGTAAAAAGGTAACTAAGTGAAAAAAGAATATTTATTTATTTATTTATTTATTTATTTGTTAATTTGTTATTTGTGAATGAATTCAACAAATATTTGGAAAAAAAGACCCAACGATAAGAGTGAAAAAAAATCAAATGGAATTTTAAACAGTCATAATTTTAAACCAAAGAAAAAAAAATTAAATTTAAATTTGTTAAAAGATAATTTAATAACAAATTGGATTGAAAATGAAAATGATGAAAAAAGTCAATCATCAATTGATTTTGATTTATTGTATAAAAAATCTCAAATAAATCTAAATGATCAAGATGAAGATAGTTTACAACTTGAAAATCTTCAACGTTTATCAACAATGAAAAATATTATTTTTCTTGATTTAGAAAATTTTTCAAGATTTTTTCAACATTTAACAAATCAATTACCTGATTACACTTATGTTATTGCTTTTCAAGCTTCAAATATTCAATGGAAACCACCAAAAAAGTTTTTAAACTCATTTTGTTTTTATCAATTCAATGCTATTTATTCATCATTTTCTTTTATTTTTTTAGTGATATTGTTTATGAAAATTTATTAAATTTAAATAATTTTCAATTAATGCGTCCAAGTGGAAATCGACATGATGCTGCTGATTTTGCTCTTGTTCTTACTGTAAGTTTTTCTCGAAGAGATTTATTTTCTTATATCCTATATTTAATAATTAGTTTGGTAAACTTCATGGTCTTCTTCCTAAATCAATTTCATTTACAATAATTAGTGGTGATAAAGGTTTTATTGAAGTAATTCATCAATTAAAAAATTCTCATCGAAGAATAAATTGGTTTAATCCTCATCAATTTTCATATGAAAATTTTAATCACATTTTAAATATTTCATCAACATCTTCTTTTCTTCTTTAATGTTTTTTTATTTAGTTATTCAAATTAGATTTTACTATTTTAATTTACAGGGTGTCTCATAAATAGCACTACGATAAAAACTTTAAATAGTTTCACTCTGGTTCAATCAAATGACCTAATTTTTCGACCAGTGGTAGAACTTAATTCAAAATTTCTTTTCATAAGGATAATGCAAATAAATACTTCTATTGAGTATTACTGTTGACTACACAAATGAAATTTTACCCGTTATCCAGTAACAAAAATACATGCGAAGCGTTTCTTCGATAATTTTCACTTTTCACCTAAGAGAACAATCAGTAGAGATAGAAACCCTCTTATGGATGATTGAACTTTAATGCAAACACACCAAACTTCTAGAATTATTTAGTTTAAATGCTAAAATTCATGTTCAAAAACAAAAACGAACAATTAAAGCCTATTGGAAACCAAATCACCAACTTCCTCGAAAAAAACCAATGTGTTTTATACTTAAAAATTCGAAATATTGTAACCGTTGATTCTTAAACTAAATACTTCTAGAAGTTTGGTGTGTTTGCATTAAAGTTCTATCATTCATGAGAAGGTTTCTATTTCTTCTGGTTGTTCTCTTAGATGACAAGTGAAAATTATCGAAGAAACTCTTCGCATGTATTTTTGTTACTGGATAACAAGTAAAGTTTCATTTGTGTGGTCAACAGTAATACTCAATAGAAGTATTTATTTGCATTATCCGTATAAAAAGAAATTTTGAATC